TTTTTTTTTTTTTTTTGGTGTTTTGTTTTGTCTTATGTTCCTGTGCAAGGCAGAAGGCTAGAACTTTGTCTCCAAAATATCCATTCTTAGGGTTGGTAGTGACAACAGTATGGCAGTTGTCCTACGGAGACCTTTTTACATCTTCCATCCCACTATATTCCCCTGGCATCATTTTGAAGTCGACAACCCTAGTATTTACACAACGCAATTAAGAAACAGGTTCACAGGTGCCAGCAAGATGGCTCAGCAGGTCATGGCCCCAGCCAGGAGGCCTGAAGAGCCAGGCCTGAGGACCCATGTGGTGTGAGGAAAGAATCTGCTCCTGGAGGTTGTTCTCTGACTTCACATCTACACTGTGGTGTTGGCACTCAAATCAACAAAGTGTAATCATTTTTATAATGGGCTTGTTTTGCTTCTGAATCTTAAGCAAGTAAATTAAAAACCTGAATTCAAATCCGTGTTTTGTGATTACATATTCCATGTTACTGCAACAAAACTCTACCACCCAGAGCATTTTTCAGGTGACGTCACCCTCTTCTGTGGGCTTGCATACCGACCCCCAACTTTGGAGTCACAGGATCCCGTGGAGTCTCAGCAAGCCCCAGCTATTAGGAGGTTTGCCTTGAGATCTGCTCTACACGTCATTGCCCAGATGTTTGCTTTTTTGTTAGAGCTGTGGGTTTCCTTGGAGGAACACCAGGATGCTTTGGAACTCATCATGAGCAAGTACCGGAAACAGATGTTGCAGTTAATGGTGGCTAAAAAAGCAGTGGATACCGAACCGGTTCTGAGAGCTCACCAGTCTCACTCTGCAGTAAGAACAAGCTGATAAATAAATTCCGAATAAAACAAATCGAAACCTTGAGGTTGTTGTTTTGTTTGCAGAAAAGCATGTTCCTCTTTCGTGGGTTTCATAGTCACTCTGTGTGCCGGAGGCTTTGTGAAGATAGGAATGAAAGGGGATCAGGGGCCTCACATCCTTTTGAGCGGCATCACCTCCCGCACCACGATCTTTTTCAGCCTGAGACAGGAAAGGTTAGAGTTCTAGGCCAACCTTGGCTACATAGCAGGCTAGATAGCAAGCATGGTGACAGCTAGTATTGAAGGCATTCAGTGAATAGCTGGCTGGTTATTACCTGTATATTCTACTAAGCCCTAAGTTTGTAGTTATGGGGACATGAGTTCAGTTTCCTCCATATCTTCCACATAGCCAGCACTCACTAACTTCATTAAATTACTCACGATACGTTACTAGGAGTGTGGAGGATCTAGTTTGTTTTATGGCCGTTCCTATATTTTAATTACTATTTAATTTGGAAACCCGGTAGCTATTTTTCAGTTTGCAGGGTGCTTCCTTGTTACCTATTTGCATGAGTTATGCATTCGAATCTCCAGTTCTGACATCGGAAGCTGCTGCTAACTACAGTGGAAAAGGCCGTGTGTCTCACCTTCCATTCCATCGGGTGCATTTTACTGACTTACAAGTCTTAGGAAACTGGGATGTTTTAAATAGTTGAATGTTTTTAATCTCTAAATGTTTGGGTTATTGTCTTTTTTGTTTTGTTTTGTTTTTCTTGAGTACGGGCTGGCATTTTAACTCCGAATCCTCCCTCCTCAGTCTCCCAAGGACTAGGATTACAGATGTGTGACACATGGATAGCAACTACTCTTTGAAAGATGGAAATGATTTGAAATACCACAGATTAATATTATGACTCAAAGTATAGTGTAATTGAAGTGTAACTTCTATAACAGCTACTAAATGAACTCTTCCCCGTTTATTTCTGCAAGGTTTTTAATAGACGTAAAATTCATAATGCACATGCTTTTTGTGGTCTTCATAACTAAAACCTGTTTTTCTTTTCATCTTGTTTCCTCAGGAAATTGAAAGTCAGATTGATCGAATCTGTGAAATGGGGGAAGTGATGAGGAAAGCAGTTCAGGTGGATGATAACCAGTTTTGTAAGCTTCAGGAGAAACTAGCGCAACTAGAGGTAAGGCGGTTGCTGTGTTAAGTTCACCCTTCTTTTCCTCTATTTAAAATAATTTTGTTAATTCACCATTTTTTTAAACAGTTCTTAAAGATCTCACATTATGTCATCACTATACTATCACTACAGTGTATTAATATAATCCTTTTTACAAGGATGTCTCGAGCCAGGCAGTGGTGGCGCACGCCTTTAACCCCAGCACTCAGGATACAGAGGCAGGCGGATCTTTTGGGAGTTTGAGGCCAGCCTGGTCTACAAGGGCTAGTTGTAGGATAGGCTCCAAAGCTACACAGAGAAACCCTGTCTCAGGAAAAAAAAAAAAAAAAAGTCTCAAAAAAGAGGAAAGGAGCTGTCTCAAAATGTGGCCTGGTCTGGCCTAAAATGCAAAATTTTCCTGCATCAGTCTCCTGTATTGCCTCAGTAGTATTATGCTAGCAATAATACTAACAGTGTTGATGTTCTCTGTGTCCTAATGATTTAAAATTACAATTTCTGCTTTATACCCTTTTCTGGAAAATAAAAAAGTGGAGTCTACAGCAATCAATGGAAATGTTAGTTGTGGTGTTTGAGACAGAGCTCAGTCGGTAAAACCCTCAGGTTTGACTGTTTATTCCAAGTGCTGTTGTGGGACTTTTAAGAAATTTTAAACGGAAAAAGAGAAGGTCCCTGTCCAAACCTAGTGAAGGAAGGACAGAGCAGGACTGGTATCTAAAGGTTACAGAAGATGCAGAAGACCGAGGCTGAAGAGATAGCTCCGCACTCAAGAGCACTTACTGCTCTTACAGAGGACCCAGTTCCCAGCAGCCATTGGTGGTTCACAACCATCCAAAACTCCAGTTCCAGGGATCTGATGCCCTCTTCTGACACTCAGATGGTGTACATACATAGGTGCAAGCAAAACACACATACACGTAGGTAACCCTGACTCCAGAGTCCTGAGAGAAGCAGTTTATGTGATGGAAGGTTTGTTGATCATGTTCTTCAACCTTTTGGTGAAACTAGAAACGTTGTAGTTTGTCCTGCAAAGAGCTGGACATGATGGCACACACCTGTAATTCTAGCACTTAGGAGGTAGAAACAGAAGGATCATCCAAGTCAGCCTCCGTGACATCAGACCCTATCTCAAAATAGAAGAGAATTGTCTGCAGAGATGGTAAAAATGGAGTGTAAGGTGGCCTATCTAGATAGAAATTAAAGGAAGTGATAGGTGTCAAGTACCAAAAGTACTAGGTGAATTGTGGAGTTAGGAGCACTTGTTGCTCTTACAGAGGCTCTGGGTTCAATTCCGAGCACCCACATGGTGACTCACAACTTATGTAAAACTAGACCCAGGGTATCCAGTGTCCTCTTCTGACTTTCTAGGGTATTTACGTGGTACACAGACATACATGCAGGCAAACATATATATATATATAAATTTAAAAAGAAAAAAAATGTTTTTGGTCTTTCAAGACAGGGTTTCTCAGTGTAATCTTGGCTGTCCTGAAACTCACTCTGGAGACCAGACTAGCCTCAAACTCCCAGAGATCCACCTCCCGAGTACTGGGATTAAAGGCATGCACCACCACTGCCCAGGAAAAAAAAAAAAAGTTGTAATTGTTTAAGATCTAGGTGTGGTGGTGCATGCCTCTAATCTCAGTACTCAGAAGGCAGAGACAAGCAGTTAATATGTGAGTTTAAGGCCAGCCCAATCTACATATCAGATTCTAGGCCAGCAAAGTCCATTTAGTGAGAATCTGTCTCAAAAATATTTTTTTTAATCATTTAAAACTTTAAAAATATTTTTCTTCCTTCTGGCCCTAAATAAAATGTTCTGATACAGTTTAGCATTTAAAATACAGAAACTATCTTTTTTCCCCAGCTTGAAAATAAGGAACTTCGAGAATTATTGTCCATCAGCAGTGAGCCTCTTCAGGTCGGAAAGGAAAGTTTTGTGGATCCTGCTTTTCAGCCCATCAAATAACTGAACTTCTGAACGCAGGCTGCAGATGGTCCGTCCAGGAGAGAAGTGACGACCTCTCCGTAGGACGTGTCCCTTCAAGAGTCCTGCCACAGACTTGACTTAGTGTTGATTAGAGGTTTGAGATGGCAGTCCAAATTTGCCACTTGCTAGTCATTGTCCACAGAACAGTTTGGGGTATATTAGTGAACACAGAGGCGTCTCCCATTCCTTTGTCAGAGACTACATTTAGTTTTGACTCTGGGACCTGAATTTATATAAACCGTTGTTTTCAGTTCATGTTTGTTTTCACATCTCTGAAATCTGAACATTTTATTATAAGCCAGTGATTTTATTTTATATAGGATTATAAAATTGACTTCTAGGAATTTTTAAGAGATCGAATTTTTTAAACGTACTTGTTTGGCATAAACCTGATTTTATTTCCTTTTTCCACTTGCAAAAGTGACATGATTCCCAGAAGCAGACTGGCAGCCCCTCTGAGTTGAGCCACTCATCTGTGGAGTTTGGATTCTCTCTGGTGCTAGGAGCTGGCACCTCATGGTCGGGTGTCTTTACTCTTAATTTGAGAGAATCTATTCCTATCCCTGGGAAGTATACTTGAAATTAAGTCATCTGGGTTTGGGTTGTTTCTCCTCCTCCCCCAGGATCACACAGTCATTCAGAGAGTGCTGAGGAACTTGGACCTGCCCCACCAGGTGCAGTCCCACGTGAGCACTTGATTTAAATGCCAAAAGTAGTTTTTATTTATTTGATCAAGTAGTCAGTTTCCCATCTTGTTTGACTAAGGAATCTTCAGCTTAGGTAGTTTGCCGGCTATGAAGAACACATCAGAGTTTGCAGGCACTGTGCCCACTGTTGAATTGATAGGGCTGCGGCAGTGAAGAACGGCTCTGCTTGGCTGGCTCACGCTGGCGAGTGTGGTCTGGTGTCTTAGATGTGTTTGGTTTTTACATGGAAGCACTTTTATCACCTACAGAAAGTTACTACATTCCCGGTGCCACGCAGGCAGTTGAGAACAGCACTAAGATCCGGCTGCATGGAGGCTCTGCTAGTTCCCTTGTCGGCCTTCCCCTGTCCTGGTTTGCTCTAATGTATACATAATTTCTTCTACGCTACTTGTTTGCCCAGAGTGGCTGAAAAATCTTAACCCTGTCAATATTTGTCACAACTCAGCCCCATACCACATGAGAAAGGTGGTATTTAAAAAGATCTAGTGTTTTATATGTCATAAAGCTTCTTTTGTATCCAGAATGTTTTGAGTCCCTCGGATCCCATTAGTACCTATTGACATAGAGCTGTGGACAGCTCCAGCTGTTGGCCTTGCAGTGTCCCCTAAGTGCCCAAAGTGTGCTCCACAAGCCCATCAGGAGCAGGTATCCTCTACCGGGACAGCTGTCAACAGGTTCCGTTGAAAAGGGTAGTGTTAGCAGAGTCTACTTCAGCAGTGTATCTGCCTTGTGTTTCCTCTGTACATCTTATCCACCAGAAGAATCTCTTCCTTTTAGCCCTGGGAATATACTGAGCTTTCAGTGCCCTGCGTCATACACATTCTGCCTGGTGTTAATGCTGTGAAAGTAATTAGAGCTAGTGTGTTGAATGGAGAAGGAATGCTCTTCACTGTGTGTGAAGATGGTAATGTCCCTTGCAGTGGATGGAAGAATTTAGTGTGTGAAATTATCTTTGCTAATAAACAAGTCTTTTGGGAAGATTTGCTAATTTTACTGAGTAATGAGTCTAACTAAGAAGTATAGAGGGCCAGGCAGTGATGGCACACGCCTTTAATCCCAGCACTTGGGAAGCAGAGGCAGGTGGATTTCTGTGAGTTCAAGGCCAACCTGGTCTACAAGAGCTAGTTCCAAGACAGCCAGGGCTGTTTCACAGAGAAACCCTGTCTCTAAAAAAGAAGAAAACCGGGCAGTTGCACACACCTTTGATCCCAGCACTCAGGAGGATCTCTTGAGTTCAAGGCCAGCCTGGGCTACAGAGCAAGTTCCAGATCAGATCTCTGTACAGAGAAACACTGTCTTAAGGGGGGGGGGGGGAGTGTAGAAAGGTCTTTTTCACATATATAACAACCTTGTCATAGATTTCATAAGCAATTTGCAGTTAGCACAATATAGTCTCAGTATAACCCTGCTAATAACATATTAGTAAGGTATTCATTGCAGAAGTACCGTATGCATAATTTATTACTGAAATCTAGTTCCATGTTCCTTAAAATGTTGTTCACTCACCTACTGAGACAAATTTATGGATAGAATCTGGAATTTACATTTTAATAATCATCCCAGAAGATGACAGTTCTAGTTGAAGACTATGTCTGTTAGAGCCAGCGAGATGACTCAGCAGGAATGGGCACCTGACACGAGGCCTAATGGCCTGAGTTCCATCCCCAGAACCCATATGGTGGAAGGGGAAAACTGACTCCTGCAAGTTATCCTCTGACCTCGCACACACACAACAAACAAATTAAGTTCCTGGTCTGTGCAAGGCCTAGACTTCACTGGGAGTTACATGAGTTGGGGGAAACAGACCGAGACTTTGAAAAGCACGGCAGAGGGCGTCGAGCAAGTATGCATGGAGTGGAGATGTCACAGCTGGTGTGCCTGCCTGCCATTCACAGAGCACTTGACACTCAGCACCAGGGAAACTAGGCTTGCTGGCACATGCTTCCAATCCCAGAACTAGAGGCAAAGGCAGGAAAATCAGGAATCTACAGTCATTCTTTGCTACATAGCAAGTTCAAAACCAGCCTGGGCTACGAGAGACTCTCTCAAAATACAAAACAAAATGTTGTGCATATAGTTATGATAAATCTGATATAAGTATGTGTAGGACACAGGAAGGACTGTTATACTTGAGAATCCAGCAGTTGACAGAGGGGTGGCTGGGAGGAGACCTAGAAAACAGCTGCAGAAGGGAAGTCTAGATAGTGCTGCAATGATTATACCTTCTGCTGAGAGCTTTCCTGCATCAGATACTGACACAATCTCCATTTCAACTCTACAGTTCCTCACACACTAGAAGGTTCTTTTTTTTT